CGAAATGCGTGTTACCCTGGATTCTACTGCTTGTTAGTCACCATCCACCAATTGACTTAAAGTATTTGCTGATTAAAGAGGTCCTATTACCGATGTTCTTATGAACTATGATAGAATTCTCCTGAAATTTCATTCTAAATGGTTGTAATCTATATCGTATTCAACTTTCCAGTTTACTTACTAGTTAGTTATAGTCAAGCCTAACTAAACTGCCTACATTCCATGGTCAGTTCGATACACACATGTATGCTTACATAGGTCAAAGGTCAGGTTAATTAAATTTATGCATATATTATTGTGAAAATATAGTTTTCTAGTGTTCTGTAATGAATTCAAGTGAAATCATTGTATTTAAAGATAGATGACTCATTACTGGTTGTTGTTCAGTAGTAGAATGAATGATTTACAGAAAAGAGAGTGTCAAGGTCAGTTGTTGTTGTTGTTGTTATAAGCTTTTTTTGGCAGAGACAGACGCGTTTCCTTTCGTTGTTTCTATACTTGTAAGTTAATTTGCCCATCTTTTGTACAAACTATTTTTATGCAAGTGATTAGTTCCCAATGGAACATAGGGCTTCAAACACTAGAGCTTTAAAGTTTCGGTATCAGGTGTTTTATTTTTTTATCGGATGGACTGAATGCAAGTTATTATTATTATTATTCCCTTGGGTTCCGAGTGGAACATGCGGCTTCAACAACACATCTCCACTTTCTGGTATTTTCTACCGTCCTCTTCAGCTGGGTCCAACATTACCCACAATCTCTCATCTCCTCCTTGCCACACCGTCTCGTCCATGCCACCCTAGGACGACCCAACTATTGCTTCTCATTTGGATTCCACTCGAGCGGTGGTCTACATTGAGTCCGATTTCACTCGATGGTTTCCTCAATGTATGTCCGATCCATCCATCTCAATTTCATGTCACACTCCATGTCACAATTCGTAGAATGCTGAAGACTGTCAGTAGGATGACTGGTGTCCCAGTGGACTATATAGTTAACGTCGTTGTCGATAGGCACTTGACTTCGTGCAGTTAATTTGCTAAAGGGATTTTGTCTGACTTGTAGCATCCACTTTACCCTCAGCTTTCACCTTGCATATCCTCAGGTAGAACAAGAAGTAACTTCAGAAAACTGTATGCACTCACGTCTAAGTACAAAAATTCTATGACACCATACTTGGCACGTATTTTATGTGATGAAAATAGCGTCAGACAAGAATTAACTAACCTTTTTTCATCTAGTAAATAAGCAATCTCCTCCATCCATCCTTATATACCTTCAAGTTTTACTTTTATTATTTCTATTATATTTATGGTCCTGTTGCTTCTTTGTTTTTACTTTTATAACTGCAAACACCAACTTATCTCTTTGACTGCTGTAATCTTTGTTTTTCCCCTCACCATATCATGTAAAGAGAACATTATATTCAATATTTTTAATCATGCAAGGATTTGTATACCGCATCGACAATACTGTGTGAAACAAGCCCACGGCAATTTCCACTTGTATTATTATCATTACCTTAGCTGCTATCATTATTATTATTTCCATTTTATATGCTGCATGTTTTTGACATTACCCCTATTGTAAATGAGGAAATTTTTCTGTGTGATCAATTTTATTCATAAATTGAGGAAATTAGATGCAATATTATTGTGATTAATGCTGAAAATTCCATTCTGTTTTTCACAAGCACTGTTTTTGGAATAAAGTAAATCACTATTATTATTTTCTCCTACATATTTGTCGGTTGAGCAATCGCCTCTTGGTTGGTTTGTTCCCAGGCAGCCAGAGTTTCTTGTTACTAATTCTTTCTGGCCGGCCAGTCATTTGATCTTCAATATGGAGCCGGCCAGGGAAGTGGTCAGCTGTTGATGAAAGTCTACAGCACAGCAGCCTGTTGGAAATCCTCAATGCGAGTAATAATCTTTTATGTGTGTTTTTCTCCTACCGACGCATACACTTGACATAATTCTCTTGTTTTTTTAATCTGAATATTCATCATAGGCAGGAACAGTCTTTTTAGTCCTCCTTCCTAATTCTTCACTTAATTGTGTGTGTGTGTGTGTGTGTGTAGACACAGTTTGAACATCTACTTGTAGTATTAGCAAAAAAGCAGCGATTAAACCACTTTAAAGGAGTGGAGTGGAGTAAGAAGAATGTTGGAGAGAAACGCTGCAAAATAGACAATGATTTATTTATTTATTTATTGAATTATTTAAAGGATTCTTTAGTTTACTTCCTTTCTACTATGATTCCGTTTTATTACCATAGTAACATTTAAAAGCTTTTATATATTGTTGTATACTTTTAAAAAGATTTATGTAATAATACTGTTTTTAGTGGCGGTGTGTATAGTGTATAAAGACTTGTGTGTGTCTAGAGGGGATTATGTTGTATTCATTTCTCTGGCAGCGGCGGTGGCGAGGTGGGGTGGCTTAGGGAATTAATTTCATCTGATTTTCTTAAAGAGTTTTTCCCATAAGAGATAAGGCGGTAGATATAATCTATGTGATCTGATCTTTTAATATGTGAGAGGGATATGTTATGTTCCCTGTTTATGAAAGTACTAAGTTCCTCTTAAGTTAACACTAGTGTTGCTGAAATTGTATGGTTCTGTTCGAATAGGTGATAGATCTGTTCAGCGGTAAACATACTGTGAACAGATGGTGACCACGGATTGATGTCAGTTAGAGAACCAGTGGGAAACCAGAAAGTACTGGACAGCTAAAATCACCAATTGGTAGAAGGTAAAATTCATGTGACATTGAGATGGTTCATAGTGGCTGAATGATTTACCAGCTTGCCTAGTGACCGGAAAGTCCTGCGTTCGAACCCCGGCGGTGGATGCGCACTGCCGATGTGTCCCGAACTAGGAAGAAACAGCCATCCAGTACTCCCAGGTTTCCCAATGGTTCCTTAAGTGATGTCAGCTCTTAGTCAAACCTGTAACCAATTTAACCCCTTCTGAAAGTACCATGAAGCAATGAATGTTGAATAATCTTCGCAAATTTGCCTTCTGGATGATGTCTTTCATTTCTTCTCTGCTTATTTCTCTCTATATTGTTGTTTTATTATTGTTGTATTTTTAATATTTTTATTGTGCGTTGAGGTTCCTGTAGCAGTTTGATTGATTTTGTGGGGTGGGATCGTTAGCCCCACGCCCAACTCTCCCTCTTTATCCGGGCTTGGGACCGGCTAGAAAACTAGCGAGCTTATTAAACTAGGTGAGGTTGAAATGCATACTTGAAGACTTGCAGGCGAGAACCAACAAATTGGTTGAAGAGACTGGTAGCGAAGACAGGACTCCAGGTGAACATAGAGAAGACGGAGGTGATGAAGATAACCAACACCAACAACAGCAATCAACAACAACCAGCACCAATCACCCACTATCAATGACAGAGATTTGACAGAGGTCACTTCACTTCCTTCATTTATCCGGCTAGGAAGCACGCTTTCAACCACAGGCAGTCGGACAGTACACATGAAGATGTCAAGGCCAGCCAGAATCGGAAAGACAAGCAAGGTACTCCTTCATCAACATGAAACCAGTTAGGAATCCTTCTGCACTCACTCGGCCAGCCAGCCAGCATGAAGAACAAGATTCGGATTCTGTTCAACACAAATGTGAGGTCAGTCAGTCAGTTCTTCTATACAGCTGACCACTTCGCTGGCCGGCTCTATAATGAAGATCAAATGGGTGACCGGCCGGCTGAGCAGAAAGAATTAGCAACAAGAAACTCTGGCTGTCTGGCAAAAAACCAACCAAGAGCCGACTGCTCAACAAATGTGTAGGATAAAATGGAGATGGATGGGGGCATACGCTGGCTGAGGAGGCCGTAGAACGACATCACGCACATTGCAGGCCATCGCTCGATTGGGAATCCGGATAGGAAATAGCAAGTGAGTCGTCGATGCGAGGATGACATAGAGGAGATCGTGTGAGTTGGAGAAGGAGATGATAGATTATGGGCAATTGTGGAGACAGCCAGCTGAAGAGGACAGCAGAGAGTAGAAGTGGAGATTTGTTGTTGAAGCCGCATGTTCTACTCGGTTAGGCATCGAGTGCTAGGTAAGGCGGGGAAATCAATCGACGAAACTGTGAAATTACTTCGACTGAGACATGTGCTACGTATGCCTAGTCATCGCCTTCCTCGACAGGCAATGTTAGCTGATATAGGACCAGGCTGGAAAAGAGCTAGCGGCGGTCAAACCAAAACATGGCACCAGTGAATGAAATACACAACAGTTAGCTTAAGCCACGTAGGGAGATGTAGACTTCCTGGTTGGGGCCCTCGGGACAGTAAAAACCAATGGTTGGAAACTATCGGTGACATGGCTCAAAATCGTCCTCAATGGCTGGCGCAGATGCATCCACTCCTTGTGACTTATGATTTCCAATTAAACTGTTTTGTTCTTCGTTATTACTATTCCTTCGTCTCACACCTCTGTTTACTGTCTCTAATATGCATTTCTCCTACTTTCTTCTATTGCTTTGTGTGCTACATGGAGGGAGAGTGGCGACTTAAACTGCCGCACATATGTACAAAGTTCTATGTCGAAAACCGACCGATCTACTCGGAACCCAAGGGAATAGTATTAAGTAGCAATAATGGTTTTTCTTGTTGTGCCGCGCTTCTCTTGGTACCAAGAAGCAAGTCCAGCCCCTACAACCGCCCTGGCCGACCTTCAGTAGAGACTATAAATTCATGAATTCGTATTATTATCTTCCCTAATTCTTCTGACATTCAGCTTATTTTTTATGTTGATGCTATTTAGCTGTAGTCTATCAATATTATTGATTCAATGTTATTTAAACAGCATTAATGTTGTTCATAACACTAATTCATTCATTCACTATAATGTATGTATATAGCTGTAGAGCCTGATGATGAAGTTATCGAAAAGAGTACTCTTTATTCAGTATCCATTCTTTTGAAAATTTTAAAATAATCCTTTTCCCTCATTTTAATATCTTCTTTATTATTCTTTATCAGTTCAACAACTTCTGCCAATGCCATTCAATCATTGTTGGATAGATTTCATATTCAAGAGTCTGCACGTAAATTTGCTCTATATGAACATACATTAGAAGGCACTACAAGTAAGTAATATTGTTTAAGAATTCTTTAATAATTCTAGAGTTTTCTTTTAAGATTGTCTGGATTTTTCTGTCTGTTTACCAGAGTTATTTTCTCAGTTAAGAATTTTTTTGACAGGAAGTCTTTCTTAATATTTTTGAAGTATAAAAATTGAAGTGAATGATTGTCGGATATCACGCAATGGATCAATAAATATAGATAGGGCTAGCTGTATTTCTTCCTAAGGCTATATATATATATATATCACAAATGTGCGTTGAAGTTTCTGTAGCAGTTTGGTTAAGCTTTGGGGATGGAGTTGCTAGCACCACGCCCCAACCCTCCCTCTTTATCCGGGCTTGGACGGCTAGAAAACTAGCGAGCTAGAAATCTAGGCGAGATTAAATCTAGGGAGCATTGTCTCAACTACAGGAGGAACGGACGACGATGTCAAATCGAGAATCGGGAAAGCGAGAAACACATTCATCAACCTGAAACCAATCTGGAAATCTTCGTCACTCAACTCAGCATCAACAACAAATGATTCGGATTTTCAATACAAACGTCAAGTCAGTCAGTTCTTCTATACGGATGGATCAGAAACTTGGCGAGTCACAAAGAATATTTCCAACAGCCTGTTGCAGACCTTTATCAACAACTGTCTTCCCTCTATACTGAAGATCAGATGGCCGGAAAGAATCACCAACAAGAAACTATGGGAACAAACAAAACACGAACAAAGCAATCGTCCAAAAAATATGCAGGAGAAAGTGGAGATAAATTGGACACTCGCTGAGGAGGCGGCTGGGTGACATCGTGCGTCAGGCCAACGCTCGAGTGTAACCCGAAAGGGAAGTGGCGAGTGGTTCGTCGGTGCAAGGGTGACATGGAGGAGATCGTGTGAAGAGGAGTTGAAACAGTATAGAGTGACATGGATGCAGGTGAAAAGTAGAGGAGAAGACAGAAACAAGTGGAGACGTGTAGTTGAAGCCCTATGTTCCACTAGGAACCCAAGGGAGTAATAATAATATATCACAAATACAGAAAGCCGCACCAACTTGTATTTCTAGACATAATACCCTGCAATGATCGTTAGGTCAAATACATAGGTCAAACTAGTAGAACAGAGTCAGTCAGACTAGCAGAGCACAAAAACTTAGCGAAATGTAGAGCAGTTGACCCTAATAGGATAAGAAATCTGGAGAATAGTTCAGCTATACCAATCACTACATGCAATTACACACAACCATACAACAGAATGGGATATTTATTCCTTTACGTACCCAGTGGAACATAGGGCTTCAAGCTACGGGCTTGGAAGTTTCAGTAGCAGTGGTGTTTGTCTTTTATCGGATGAAGTAGCTAGCCTCATGCCAAGCCTAACCTTCCCTCTTTACCAGTCTTACAAGTGGCTTAGTGAGGTAAAGGAGTGCATCGGTGGCCGGGGATCGAACCCTGAACCGTATGCGGAGTGGTTGGTAAACATCCTACTGCTGTGCCACCGACGTACAATAGTATGGGATAAGATGACATTTGTTAAAGTCGAATGTAATAGCAGGGTGGAGGGAGAGATTGATAACGGAAGCTTTATTTGTCGAATCAACAGAATAATATGTGTAATAGGGATGATTCAACACCTGTCCACTCAGACATCTGGAAAATTCTACTACCCCTGTGACAAATCGGAAGGAATAAAGAAAACTGTAAAACGAAAGTTTCGAAGTTGTGTGGTTATAGTTGATATGATTATGAACGTGTTCGAAACTTCGTCATCCAGTAAATAATAATACTGTTTCACTGTGTGTGATACATCTAATAAACAAATTAATATGAAATTATATCCTGCCAACACATTCACTTATTTAGGGAGCATTGTCTCAACTACAGGCAGGTGGAACGGACGAGGATGTCAAATCGAGAATCGGAAAGGCGAGAAACACATTCATTAACCTGAAACCAATCTGGAAATCTTCGTCACTCAGCCTGCATCAACAACAAAGTGATTCGGATTTTCAATACAAACGTCAAGTCAGTTCTTTTATAGGGATCAGAAACTTGGCGAGTCACAAAGAATATTTCCAACATCCTGTTGCAGACCTTTATCAACAGCTGTCTTCGTTCTATACTGAAGATCAGATGGCCGGAAAGAACAAGAACCAACAAGAAACTATGGGAAGAAACAAAACACGAACAAAGCAATCGTCCAAAAAATATGCAGGAGAAAGTGGAGATAAATTGGACACTCGCTGAGGAGGCGGCTGGGTGACATCGTGCGTCAGGCCAACGCTCGAGTGTAACCCGAAAGGGAAGTGGCGAGTGGTTCGTCGGTGCAAGGGTGACATGGAGGAGATCGTGTGAAGAGGAGTTGAAACAGTATAGAGTGACATGGATGCAGGTGAAAAGTAGAGGAGAAGACAGAAACAAGTGGAGACGTGTAGTTGAAGCCCTATGTTCCACTAGGAACCCAAGGGAGTAATAATAATATATCACAAATACAGAAAGCCGCACCAACTTGTATTTCTAGACATAATACCCTGCAATGATCGTTAGGTCAAATACATAGGTCAAACTAGTAGAACAGAGTCAGTCAGACTAGCAGAGCACAAAAACTTAGCGAAATGTAGAGCAGTTGACCCTAATAGGATAAGAAATCTGGAGAATAGTTCAGCTATACCAATCACTACATGCAATTACACACAACCATACAACAGAATGGGATATTTATTCCTTTACGTACCCAGTGGAACATAGGGCTTCAAGCTACGGGCTTGGAAGTTTCAGTAGCAGTGGTGTTTGTCTTTTATCGGATGAAGTAGCTAGCCTCATGCCAAGCCTAACCTTCCCTCTTTACCAGTCTTACAAGTGGCTTAGTGAGGTAAAGGAGTGCATCGGTGGCCGGGGATCGAACCCTGAACCGTATGCGGAGTGGTTGGTAAACATCCTACTGCTGTGCCACCGACGTACAATAGTATGGGATAAGATGACATTTGTTAAAGTCGAATGTAATAGCAGGGTGGAGGGAGAGATTGATAACGGAAGCTTTATTTGTCGAATCAACAGAATAATATGTGTAATAGGGATGATTCAACACCTGTCCACTCAGACATCTGGAAAATTCTACTACCCCTGTGACAAATCGGAAGGAATAAAGAAAACTGTAAAACGAAAGTTTCGAAGTTGTGTGGTTATAGTTGATATGATTATGAACGTGTTCGAAACTTCGTCATCCAGTAAATAATAATACTGTTTCACTGTGTGTGATACATCTAATAAACAAATTAATATGAAATTATATCCTGCCAACACATTCACTTATTTAGGGAGCATTGTCTCAACTACAGGCAGGTGGAACGGACGAGGATGTCAAATCGAGAATCGGAAAGGCGAGAAACACATTCATTAACCTGAAACCAATCTGGAAATCTTCGTCACTCAGCCTGCATCAACAACAAAGTGATTCGGATTTTCAATACAAACGTCAAGTCAGTTCTTTTATAGGGATCAGAAACTTGGCGAGTCACAAAGAATATTTCCAACATCCTGTTGCAGACCTTTATCAACAGCTGTCTTCGTTCTATACTGAAGATCAGATGGCCGGAAAGAACAAGAACCAACAAGAAACTATGGGAAGAAACAAAACACGAACAAAGCAATCGTCCAAAAAATATGCAGGAGAAAGTGGAGATAAATTGGACACTCGCTGAGGAGGCGGCTGGGTGACATCGTGCGTCAGGCCAACGCTCGAGTGTAACCCGAAAGGGAAGTGGCGAGTGGTTCGTCGGTGCAAGGGTGACATGGAGGAGATCGTGTGAAGAGGAGTTGAAACAGTATAGAGTGACATGGATGCAGGTGAAAAGTAGAGGAGAAGACAGAAACAAGTGGAGACGTGTAGTTGAAGCCCTATGTTCCACTAGGAACCCAAGGGAGTAATAATAATATATCACAAATACAGAAAGCCGCACCAACTTGTATTTCTAGACATAATACCCTGCAATGATCGTTAGGTCAAATACATAGGTCAAACTAGTAGAACAGAGTCAGTCAGACTAGCAGAGCACAAAAACTTAGCGAAATGTAGAGCAGTTGACCCTAATAGGATAAGAAATCTGGAGAATAGTTCAGCTATACCAATCACTACATGCAATTACACACAACCATACAACAGAATGGGATATTTATTCCTTTACGTACCCAGTGGAACATAGGGCTTCAAGCTACGGGCTTGGAAGTTTCAGTAGCAGTGGTGTTTGTCTTTTATCGGATGAAGTAGCTAGCCTCATGCCAAGCCTAACCTTCCCTCTTTACCAGTCTTACAAGTGGCTTAGTGAGGTAAAGGAGTGCATCGGTGGCCGGGGATCGAACCCTGAACCGTATGCGGAGTGGTTGGTAAACATCCTACTGCTGTGCCACCGACGTACAATAGTATGGGATAAGATGACATTTGTTAAAGTCGAATGTAATAGCAGGGTGGAGGGAGAGATTGATAACGGAAGCTTTATTTGTCGAATCAACAGAATAATATGTGTAATAGGGATGATTCAACACCTGTCCACTCAGACATCTGGAAAATTCTACTACCCCTGTGACAAATCGGAAGGAATAAAGAAAACTGTAAAACGAAAGTTTCGAAGTTGTGTGGTTATAGTTGATATGATTATGAACGTGTTCGAAACTTCGTCATCCAGTAAATAATAATACTGTTTCACTGTGTGTGATACATCTAATAAACAAATTAATATGAAATTATATCCTGCCAACACATTCACTTATTTAGGGAGCATTGTCTCAACTACAGGCAGGTGGAACGGACGAGGATGTCAAATCGAGAATCGGAAAGGCGAGAAACACATTCATTAACCTGAAACCAATCTGGAAATCTTCGTCACTCAGCCTGCATCAACAACAAAGTGATTCGGATTTTCAATACAAACGTCAAGTCAGTTCTTTTATAGGGATCAGAAACTTGGCGAGTCACAAAGAATATTTCCAACATCCTGTTGCAGACCTTTATCAACAGCTGTCTTCGTTCTATACTGAAGATCAGATGGCCGGAAAGAACAAGAACCAACAAGAAACTATGGGAAGAAACAAAACACGAACAAAGCAATCGTCCAAAAAATATGCAGGAGAAAGTGGAGATAAATTGGACACTCGCTGAGGAGGCGGCTGGGTGACATCGTGCGTCAGGCCAACGCTCGAGTGTAACCCGAAAGGGAAGTGGCGAGTGGTTCGTCGGTGCAAGGGTGACATGGAGGAGATCGTGTGAAGAGGAGTTGAAACAGTATAGAGTGACATGGATGCAGGTGAAAAGTAGAGGAGAAGACAGAAGCAAGTGGATACGTGCAGTTGAATCCCTATGTTCCACTAGGAATCCAAGGGAACAATAATAATAATGCAACACAATGCTCAAGTTTACACATATATTAATCTCTGGGCATACTTTCTGGTCGGAGAGGAGAAGGCTGAATGAAGTGGTCAATTTATATGATATAAAGCCTAATCGACTTGAACGACATAGGGCAATATTTAAATTTTCATAGTTTCTGTCCATTGCAATATTAAAAGAGGTTTAGTGAAGTATTTATTTAAGAGGATTCAGCGTATCTGGATGATAGCTGATGTTATAATAGAGGATGAAAATAAAATATTGATGGATACACTCATGCCGAAAACGGATATATCCTCCAAATTTCTACAACTCACCCCTAAGAAAGACGTGTACATCAAGCTACCCTATTGTGGAGCATCATAGCAGCTTGATAAGTAGACAAAGACCGAACACTGCTGTTAAAAAGACTTTTTATGCAGCTAATATCATAATAATAGAGAATGTAAAGCCAATATATCTATATAAGCCCTTCGAACATGCGAAAAGTGATGTCACATCCCACCGTATATACCAATTTGAATGTACATGTGGACACACATACATAGGGAGGACTCATCGACCTCTGCAAGTAAGGGCTTCAGAGCATATTCCTAAATGGCTCCAGAAACAAATGGAATCTTCAGAACTCATTAACGGTGAGAACAGGAGACCTAGCTCTTCTATTGCGAAACATATTATGGAGACAGGACATAAAATTGACGTTAACAGATCTTTTAAACCTGTCTATAACACATGTTTGGGGCGTATCCTAACGTTTGTAGAAGACCTAGCTGGCAATTAGGAAGTTTAAACCACCTCTATGAGTTCAAATAGAATTCATCATCACATTAAACCTTCCTTGGTAAAGTTTGTTTTAATACCAGCCGGAGTAGATGTACTATTCTGTCTGTTAATTGGTTTAGTGGTCTTCATTGTTATTTTGACCTTGAATATGTCCTTTTAACTTGACCTAAGTAGTCTATTTTCTCACCCACCTCTTAACTCTGTATTAATTTCATATATATTCCTATGACAAGTCCATGTGTGATCAGATTGTTCGAAATGTGTTGTGCGCGCAAATGCATTACACAATTCAGACAAATTACGTCTTCTTATTACTTTATTATTAATTATTGAAAAAGCCAGAAATATGCTCTAATACAAGCCTCAAAAGTGCACAAATGATTATGTCATACCCCATACTGTGCATTACTTTACATGTAGGTGTTTGTGTGTGGTCACACATACACAGGGAGGAGTATTCGCTCTTCGTACTGGAGAGTAGGTGAATATATACCCAAATGGTTAGAAGAACAAATGAACTGTGAGAAAATAAAAGACAATTCAGCGAAGAAAATTTCCTTTATCGACAAAATCAGCTTCAAAGGCTGTACAGTCATATTTATATTTACCAAAATGTATAGTAGTCCATTATTGAGTAATAGGGGGGGGGGGATGGAATAATTGATACAATTACTTAGAATAGTCGTAAATTACGTAATACTCAATGGTACAAAGAAAGGAAGCGTCAGAAATTTGATAAGGTTAAAATTGTTGTTGAGTGAGAAGAAAGGTACTTGAGCGTCCACTAATGACGTATGAAGAGCGAGAGAATGCGTCAGTGGCACAGTGGTGGGATGCTCATCGACCACGCATGCGGCCCGGGGTTCGATTCCTGGCCACCGACGCACTCCTTTACCTCACTAAGCCACTTGTAAGACTGGTAGAGAGGGAAGGTTGGGCATGAGACTAGCAACGTCATCCCGTAAAAATAAAAACCACTGCTACTGAAACTTCCAAGCCCGTAGCTTGAAGCCCTATGTTTCACTGGGAACGTAAAGGAATAAAAAAAGAATGAGGGTGGGAAAATGTACAAAAGGAACATATGAGAGTGATAATAGTGAATTAATTATTAGAGTGCCCTTGAGTACCACGTAATTTATAACTTTTATTTTTTTTTTTTATTATTATTTGAAGCCACTTCTTATTAAATAATTATATCACTTATGTCACCCCTACCACTCAGTAATGGACTACTTTAAATTTTCGGTAAATATAAATATGTGTGATCAGATTGTTTAAAGTGTATAGAGCAAATACATCACATTTTTTCAGAAAATCACTTTCTTCTATTAATACTTTTCAAATTCAAAGTGAACTACTTTCAAAAGTGTAAGTAGTTTGTGTGTATTGTTAAATTATTTCGAGACTTAAATGATCTTGACACACAACCTTATGTGGTCTGTTGCTCTGCACTGAATGAGTCTTTTTGAAGTATCCTCAGTAATAAGTTAGAAGTTGGATGTTTATGCAGGGTATGACGTTCGTGGGGGGTAGGGGGTGGGGAGATGCTGTACATCGGATTTAAGAGTGTGTTGTGAAATGTTCTCACTGTGATGATGAGGTCCATCAGGCGAAGTGAAAGAATACACACCCAACAATGGCGAATGCAGCAATGACCTAGAAATGAGCAGTTGCACTGAAAGGCATTTATAGGTGTCTAACTTAACCATAGCCGTAGTCTTTCTCTCATCTAAATTCAGCCTTAATTTTTTTTTATTCTTTCACGTTCCCAGTGGAACACATAGGGTTCAAGCTAGTGGCTTGAAGTTTCTGTAGCAGAGTTTATTGTTTTTACGGTATGGGGTTGCTGGCCTCATTTAGCCCAACCTTCTCTCTTTACCAGTCTTGTTACTGGCTTAGCGGGGTAAAGGAGCGCATCGGTGGCCGGGGATCGAACCCCGGACCATGTGCATAGTCGGCGAGCGTCCTAACCGCTGTGCCTTAATTCGTCCGTTATTTATTTTATTCCTTTGTATTTCGAGTGGAACATAGAGCTTCAATCCTGAGCTTTTAAGTTACAGTAGCGGCGTCTTTTTACTGGGCAGGGTTGCTGGCCTCATGCTCAACCGTCCCTCTCTAACGGGTTTACTTACTAGTTAAGCAGTGAGGTCTAGGAGTACGTTGGCTGAGAAACGAACCGTAGGCCACGTGCGTGTGTGGTTGGCGAGTATGCTACCAATGAACCACCTGACACACCATATCCGGTCTTTCGTAACCTTACCTCAAAGTATCCAGAATCTGTTAAGTTTTTACAATTTTTTATGATTATAGTGCTATTCACCTAGTTTCACCGCCTTGCCTAGTAACAGCAACCGCCCTCATTCAAAATACGTGTGGCTGGTATACAACACGGGTGGGTACATGAAAAATCGGTTCCAGATATAACTGAGTTGAAACTAACAAATAAGCAAAAACAGTTTAGGCCTGTCACCCAATCGAAAGTATGTAACTCCAAACTACTGTGTAGGTTATATGAGGTGAACAGGTTATTCTTATTCTTTGCTTAAGAATCCCCTGACCGATAGCTGCTACCATAACATGTGGTAGTCGAGGTTGAATAGCATAATGTCCCTAGGAGCTACAATAATAGAGGCTAACGTTCCTTCAGGTCCTGCTATATCAGAAACATCGTTTGGATAACAGTTAGACTAAAAGCAGTTATCATAAAAGTGAAAGTTGTATACACTATGTTAAGAGTCTGTGGGCGAAGTCGTATTGCAGGCGAACAGGGATGTAAGAGCAGTAAGGTGTGTTTCCCTTAGACGACCAGCAAAGAAGGAAAGGTAGACCCCCCAAAAATTGTACATCCCGAATTAACTTGTGCCAGTCCTGTAGCCGGCGTTAATATCTCAGTAGGTAGGGGTCGTGTGTGTCCGGCGTCAAGCATTTGTCCCCTAGGCCGCGCGACACTAATGTTCCTTCTGTTTCAGGCTCCCTAAGAAGAATGAAGCTCTCACGGTGTGGGCAACCGGGATATAATAACGGCCCACACCTGATCATCACCAACCATTTCAGTCAAGAATCCAATCAGTTACTTTTACCAACTTCCAACTGTGATCTGGAATGTTGTGTAATTCACTCTCCGTCTAGTCTAAACGTGGAGAGGTCGTTTATTGGCCTCAGAACTCAGTTTTTAGCGATTAGATTTCGGGTTGGGATTCTCTACTTCTCTTAGTTCAACTTATGGGCAACTGGGTGTTATCGTCAGCCATCGTTATACTAAATGTTTGACTGATAGTCTGGCGCATGAGAAATATTTTCCGGGTATTTGAATTCGGACAGCTAACCTGAGGAACTTGGTGCTTTGGTGGTTCAGTGGTGGGATGTTCACCAATCACACACACACACCTTGTCCGAGGGTCGATTCTCGACCGACGCACTCCTAGAGCTTACTACTTAGTTTATTAACCGATAGCAAGCCCATGAAGTGGGGAGTGTGGAAAGGCTGGTTGTGAGACTGGCAACCCTACCGAGTGAAAACATCGCTATTTCTAATAATACTTCATAGTATGAAGACCTATGTCCTAATCGGAAGGCAGAGGAAGGCAACAACTCCCCATTTAGTGATGCACAGTAAATTAAATTTCGTATTATTATTATTATTTTTTTCCTTTTATTTCTAGTTAGTGCTCGTAAACTATCAACTTCTGAATGTCCTTTATTGTTATTATTGAATTGGGTTCGTACAACTTCAAGTCGTGATCATTTCTTAGAATTACTTAAACAAAAACGTATTGTACTGCAGGAAAATGATGCATGTGATATAGAGGTAAGCTGTTATTTAGAGTGTGTGTGTGTGTGCGTGTTTGTCATTGATGTATCTCTATGTGTTTCTAGATTTCTGTCTATGCACACATAAGTACATCTTGTTCTCAGTCACATTGTACATTTCATTGTGTGCCTTGGTTTTTGAGGGAACTATTCCTTCAAATTGATCTTAGGTGTTTAGAGACAGTCGACCGGATTATTCTCGCACTCAGGTTACATGCTTATTGAAATTCGTCGGCAATACATATCTGACCTTGACGCGCTTTTCGATTGTCACGCTACATTTACTCAGTTACATAAAACTCTTATTTCTGTGGAGTTTCTTGTCAAAAAGTTGTGGAACTTATTGTAATTATTTGCCTTTCAAACACTGAATCTGTGGATATAATCTTGTTGACCGATAATACCTATAACTATCTGATTGCCATTTCGTGATTGTCTAACACTAACTAATATCTATAATTGTATATATTGATGGATTTATATGTCTAAGTCGGCACCTCGAAAAGAAAGAAGAGTTCTACAGACAACTACAGGCAACAATGGACAATACCCTAGTTGGTGACATTAAAGTACTAATGGGAGACATGAACACCAAACTGGGACCAGACAACACAGGAAGGGAACTCATCATGGATAGAGAAGCTCTCGGAGAGACGAATGAAAAAGGAGAACTCTTCGTCGACTTCTGCGCCTTCAATGAACTAGTGATTGGTGGCAGCGTATACAAACACAAGGACATCCACAAGGCTACATGGGTGTCACCAGATGGGTGAACCAAAAATCAAATTGACTTCATCTCAATCTCGAGGAAGTGGAGGCGCAGCCTACTGGACACGAAAGTAAGAAGAGGAGCAGACGTTGCCTCAGACCACTATCTCGTACAAGGGACAATCCAAATCAAATTAAAAGCTTTCAGAGAATCAGGGGCTGCAGATAGACCACAAGCCAAGTTCAACACTCAAAAACTGAAGGACCAGGACACAAAGGATATCTTCACTGCAAACATAAGGAAAAAGGTGGAGACACAAATCAACACTAGCGAAGAGGTCAGCGTCGAAAAGCACTGGAACAACTTGAAAACAGTGTGGAGTCAAACCTGCATGGAAGTTCTGGGCAGAAAGAAGAGACGGGACAAACAGTGGCTCACCACAGACACATGGACACTAATAGAAGAGAGAAGGATGATGAAACAAAAGATTCTCCAGTGCATCGACGAGCAACAAAAACAGGAGTTGAATGCAAGCTACAAGACACTGAACAAAAGAGTAAAAAAAAGTGTCAGGGAAGACAAAAGAAAATATTATGAAGCCATGGTAAGTGAAGCAGAACAAGCTGCAGGCAAAGGAGACCTCGCAACACTCTACCAAACAACTAGGTTCCTATCGAGGAAAAGTTCGACACAAATTAAGCCAGTGAAGGATGACAATGGAAAGTCAATCACCAAAGAAGTGGAGCAAAGGAAACACTGGGCTGAACACTTCAAAAGACTCCTAAATCGACCGCCACCTACAACGCGCCCAATAATACCAACAACGGAAGCAGAACTACCAGTGAACATCAACCCCCCGACGAGAACAGAAGTCCTGAAGGCAATCAAGATGCTAGAAGCTGGAAAAGCAGCAGGACCAGATGGAATCCCAGCAGAAGCACTGAAAATGGACCCAGAGACAACAGCAAACTTGATGACACCACTACTGGAGAAGGTGTGGGAAGAGGGCAAGGTACCTGCGGATTGGAAGAAAGGCTACTTATTCAAACTGCCAAAGAAAGCAGACTTAAGTCAATGCAAGAACTGGCGTGGCATTATACTCCTGTTTATCCCAAGCAAAATACTAAGCCGCATCATCCTGGAGAGAATCAAAGAAGACCTGGAACAGGCTGGATTCAGGAGAAACAAGTCATGCATTGATCAGATCGCCACATTACGGATCATCATTGAGCAGAGCTTGGAATGGCAGTCACCTATTTCTCTCAACTTCATCGACTTTGAAAAGGCCTTCGACAGCGTCGATCGAGAGGTGATTTGGCAACTACTTCGCTGCTACCAAGGGGTGCCGCCAACAATTATATACCTCATCCAACAGTTGTACGATAATGCTGCATGCCAAGTAATCCACAACAGGAAACTCACAGAATCCTTCGTAGTGAAGATGGGTGTAAGACAAGCTGGCTACCTACTATCTCCAATGATTTTCCTGATTGTGGTAGACTGGATAATGCGACAAACAGCGAACAATGAGGAAACAGGCATAAAATGGACCCTCACGAAAATCTTGGAAGATACGGACTTCGCCGATGATATATGTCTGATTTCCCACAAACTGGAAGATATGCAAGTGAAAAGCAACAAGTTGGCAGAAGAAACATCAAAGATAGGACTTCAGGTGAACATAGAGAAAACAGGGGTAATGAAGATTCCTGGACAAGAACAACAACAACAGACAACAATCAGCATAAATGGGAGGAACCTAAAAGAAACAACCTCTTTTACCTACCTGGGAAGCATCGTTTCAACTACAGGCCGGCGGAACTGATGAGGATATCAAAGCAAGAATCGGAAAAGCAAGACAAGCTTTCACTACTCTCAAGTCTGTGTGGAGGTCAACAGCACTCAGCATCAAAAATAAGATCCGGGTTTTCAACTGTAATGTGAAGTCAGTCAGTGCTACTATACGGATCAGAGACTTGCACTGCACGTCATAAGGAGCATCTCAAACAAACTACAAACCTTCATTAACAATTGTCTTCGCTCAATACTCAAGATCAGATGGCTGGCCAGAAAAGATCAGCAACAGGGATCTCTGGGAGCGAACCAACCTAGCAGGAACCGATTGTGAAACAAATAATTAGGAAGAAATGGAGGTGGATTGGCCATACTCTAAGGAAACCATCAAGTGACATCACTAGACTAGCCGTCAAGTGGAACCCGAAAGGGAAGCCGTGAGTTGGTCGTCAGTGTAAGGGTGACTTGGAGGAGGTGATGTGAAGAGGAGATGAAAGCATGTGGGCAGACGTTGAGCCAGGTGAAAACATTGGTGGAGAAACAGACACAATGTAGACGGATGGCTGAAGTCCTATGTTTCGCTCGGAATTAAAGGAAATAATAGTAATACATATCTGTAATTTTGAAGGGATTTGAAACCGCATCAATCAATGCTACAGTCAGAGAGATCACCTCTGAAATCTATTTGGGCTCCTTGTAATCATATATTCCCTAACTTTTGAAGGGAGGTGTTTAATTAGAATCATAGTTCAGTTAATTGACTCTTTCGTACTTTTCCGCTCACACTCTTGTGTGAAGTGACAGTTAATTCCCCTTGTTTTCTTTTGTTTTATTTTTGTTTTTCCTCTAGTGGAAAGAGTTCACAACAGCAGAGTTGACCAACTTCTTACGTATACTTGATAAAGAAGAATCTGAATATCGGAATGCTATACTATATCAATACAACCTGTTACGTAATCAATTGGAGCAACGAATGAAACAGTTGTTGGAGACTGGTGAAGCTTATCACCACCATCACCAATCACCAATCACATCATCATCATTCACATCATCAGCATCAGCAGTTGCATCACCACCATGATAACGAGAATAGTGTCGTCAGTGATGATTCATTAACTAGTGATACTAATGGTGGACCACCTGTATATTCAAGATTCTATTCACCATCACATCCTTATGCTCTGGAACAACAACACCAACAGCAAACTGATGAAGATTGTCAGCCTCAGTCCACAGGACAACCTTGTTATGACTGTCATTGTTCTTCACGTTAGCCGATTCCTTCGATGATGGCGTGATGCTGGTGGCGACGAGTACTGATGAACATTTACTAGTGGTCACTTTGAAAAATAAAGAAAGAAGGAGCAACAATCTAGATCCGTTTATTTTTATCCATTTTACTTCAAATGTTCGTTTGTTGTGGAAAGATCAAACTACTCAAATCACTATTTAGTAGTATGCAGACAAAACTGAAAATTATCTTCACATAATCTTAAGTTCGACTCCTGTCCAACTTTTTCCAACCTCCTCATGTTGTAATAATAAGGAATCTGTACTGGATAATTAACTGTGAAATATTTAACTGACTGACTACTCCTCTGTTCGACCTATCTGCTCCTGTCTCCTCCACACACACACGCACACACACTGTTTTCCTTTCTGTAGTTCATGTATTTTAAACCTAGTTCCGGTCTGATTTTATCAGTCTGTTGTGTTTCATCTTCTCGGCTTAATTAATTATTTTCCCCTCGTCGTCGTCGTCATGTGTGTGGCGCGTACAATCGGACTAGTTGTGTGTGTGTGTGCGTGTGGTGTTCCTTCCATCGAAAAAAACGTTCCTAGTAGGAGTGTGAGTTGTTGATTGCTACTCACTGTTGTAGGCAAATATATTTGATCCTGTTTATTTTACATTTATGTGTATGGTGTGATAGCAGTGTAAATATTTTTCTTTCAAAAATCAATATTTATTTTCTACCATGTTCTTCTTGTTACCTCCCATCCTGTTCTCTCCCCACCCTCTTCTCTCTCTCTCTCTTGGAAGCGAAAGGCCTACATACATACACATTTGTAGTGTACTCTATATAATGCTTCTGATTCATATTCCTCTGTATTTCTTGTTCGATGGTCGGTGGTGGATAGTACTACTTACATTAGTAGTAGTGATACGCTTACTGTTTTCTTATGGATTGTGTTATGCTTTCTTGTGTTTTCTAAATAGTATTAATTAAATTAAATTAAAGCGACTCTGATCTGCTCTACTCTGCTGCTCTGAGACTGTGTGACACATTCATTCATCGATCGGTACACTCATTCGTCCATTCATTCACTTACTCACCTCACTCACTCACTGACATACCCCCCTCCTCCATATACATGCCAACATGTTGTGTTTGAGTCTTTTGAATAATTCCTAAATTCATCTTGTTTCTACGGTACGGTGTTTTTGTGCATTGAAGAATTCGCCGGAGTGTCTGTGTGTGTGGTGTTGAAATTCAGTTGATTGACCTTTGTGAAGAGAAAAGAAAATTAGTAATAAAGAAAAATCGATGGGAATCAATATTATTTCTTATGAGTTCTACAGACTTCTTCCTTCCTTTTTCTCATTGTCTGTCTTATCCAAGATTTGTTGAAACTTGAGGTCGGTCGGTCGGTCGGTCGGTTTTCGACATAGAACTCTGCACAAATGTGCGGCAGTTCAAGTCGCCATACTCCATGTAGCACACAAAGAGAGAGAAGAGAGTAGGAGAAATGCATATTAGAGACAGTAAACAGAGGTGTGAGACAAAGGAATAGTAATAACGAAGAACAAAACAGTTTCATTGGAAATCATAAGTCACAAGAAGTGGATGCATCTGCACCATTGAGAACGATTTTGAGCCACGTCACCGATTGTTTCCAACCATTGGTTTTTACCGTCCCGAGGACCCCAACCAGAAAGTCTACACCTTCCTACGTGTCTTAGACTAACTGTTGTGGATTTCATTGACTGGTGCCATGTTTTGGTTTGACCGCCGCTAGCTGTTTTCCAGCCTGACCCTATATCAGCTAACATTACCCTTCGAGGAAGGCGATGACTAGGCATACGTAACACATGTCCTAACCATCTCAGTCGATGTAATTTCACAGTCTCGTCGACTGATTTCCCCGCCTTACCTAGCACTCGACCTATGCCTAACCTCAATATTGCTCACCTTATTATACCACTTCACGCGGGAGATAGAACGCAGACACCTATGATTGAACACAGATAATCTTTTCATGTCTTCTGCTCTCAATGGCCATGTCTCACAGCCATAAAGGAGGACGGAGCGGACTGTTGAGCAGTACACACGCCCTTTGGTCGATAGTCGGATATCGCGTCTACGCCAGAGACGGCGTAAACTGGCATATGCGAAACGAGCCTTCTGTATCCTTTCTGAGATTTCGTCGGAGATCAACCCGTTGGGGCTGATGGTACTTCCCAAGTAAGTGAAGTGGTCAACGTGCTCTACCACTTCACTTCCTATTTCTAATCTAGGGGTCGGTGAAGTCCAATCCTGCAGCATCATCTTACATTTTACAGGGGCGAATCGCATGCCAAACATACGAAGATTGTTGCTCAAGGTGTTCAGTAGACTCTGCATTTTGTCAGCGTCCTCGCCTAGAAGGACTATATCGTCTGCATATTCTAAGTCAACGAGATTATTCCCTGGTAGCAAGTCAATTCCTGAGTCGCTGAAGTGTGTTAGGGTTAAGTCCATTAGTACGTCTATGATGAAGTTGAATAGGAATGGGGATAATGGGCATCCTTGACGGACGCCACTAGTCGTCACCACTTCAGATGACAACTCGCCATAAGCCCTCATCTGGCTGCATGAGTACGAGTAGAGTGCCTTAATCAGTGCAATGTATTTTCTCGGCATTCCCTTTACAGCCAAGCATCGCCAGAGAACCTCTCGGTTGACAGAATCGAATTCCGCCTTTAGGTCAAGAAATATAGTGATTGTCGGACGCCGGTAGGAATGCCTATGTTCTAGAATCTGTCGAAGGGTGAAGATATGATCAATACACCCTCTTCCTGGCCTAAAACCTGCCTGGTTTTCTCGAAACTTGAGGTGCTGTTAAATTTTTTTTAAAATGGGTTAAATTCGCAATTTGAAATTTATCAGTCTGCATAGTGATTTCAACTGAGCTAAGTCAAACTGGGTAAGCGCCTCTGATGAACTCTGCCACAAACGAGACAAACGACTGTCTGCCTAGTAACCACTACTTTTTGAATCTGAGTGGTATCCAACTACTCATTTGAATCAATCAGTAGTATATATGTATATGCTTAAAAAAGAAGAAAAGGTTGACTGATATGTGTCTATCTTACAGTGTATTATTCATGCATTCATATGGTTATTGGGATTTCGACTTTTAATCTTACAATACAATGATTAAGTTGATGTGTTGAGAGTAGTCCAATAGTAGAGAATGGCTCACCAGGTGCGCACGTGGTTCAGGTTCGATTCCTGTGTGACTCAGTCCTTAATCTCACCTAGTTTACTAGCTAGTAGGAGGGGCCCAGGAAAGAGGAAGGCTCTGCGTCAACATGTTCTAGAAAATGTTTTACGTAATGTGAGGTTTAATCTAGAAGGGAATACGCAGGTGGGGAAGTGAAAGAAAGTATGAAAAGATAACATGACACTTAGGGTTATAGTTACTCCCACCGATATGCGTTGGATCCCTATCACGTCATTGTTATCTAAAGTGTCGAATTCTAACTTATGCTGCAGTTGTTACTGTCCTGTAAGATGACAGTAGACAAGTGCTCTCAGTGAACTTAAACAGTATAATTTCACCTCCTAGTTTTAGTATACGATCCGTTCATAGGTTTGTGAGTAATAATCAAATTGACAGAAGACAAGTAGTTCAGCGAACAGTCTCTTTTCGGCGGCGGATTCATTTTCAAAGCTGTACAATCGCAAATATATATGGTTGTTTTGTATGTGTGTGTACATTAAATTTGTCAAACGAAAATACAATTAGTAAGTTCAGATGAATTGGATGTTGATATAAGAGGGTAGTAACAAAAGTGATGAGTTGTCACAAACGAAAGAACGGCCAACTGACAAGCTTCTACAGCTGGGTACCAATCAGTCGGAAAAGAAACTTAATTAGATCTCTTGCCACTCGCGTCCGGCGCATCTGAAGCTCTGATACCATGGAAGAACTAAACTTCCTGAAAGAAACCTTCATACAAAACGGTTATCCATCAAGATTCGTAGACAAAAACATCAAACAGAAAATCCAAAAGCAAGAAACAGTATCTGTGCCAAAAAAGATACTTTATATGAACCTCGACTTCAAAGAAGACCTACTCAGTGACGTTCTTAGAAGGAGAATCTCCATCTCTTTAAGAAGAACTTTCTTTGCGGTAACATTGAGAGTAGTGTTCTCTAGTCGCCTGCTGATCTGCAGAAACCCAAAAGACAAGATCCCGCACCTGACCACTTCTATGTGTATATATCAGTTCACCTGATGCTGTGGAGCCAGGTACATCGGTCGTTCAATGCGTATCCTGTCAAAAAGGATCAAAGAACACTATCCAGCGTGGCTGCAGAAAGGAAGTAATGGCTGCATGAGGAGTGCAATAATAGAACACCTCGTCAACACTCGTCATTCCATCTCAACAAACGCCCCCTTCAAAGTAATCTACAAAGTGAAGAACAACCTTCCAAAGACAGTACGATTCCATCTTCTTTGCATCGCAGAAGCCCTAGCCATTAAGCTAGAGGAACCAGAACTGTGCATACAAAAGAAAATTATTCAACCACTTCTACTATCATGCTAACAACTCTGTTGATTTGACTTAACTTTTGTCTGTATGCTTATTTTTTCTACCTGATTAAAATTCTTGCGTAATTCCGTATATTATTTTGTTTCCGTGTTCACCCTGAGCACAACTCTTTCATCAAAGTATTCATGTTATTGCGTAACTCATCACTTTTGTTACTACCCTCTTATATCAACATCCAATTCATCTGAACTTACTAATTGTATTTTCGTTTGACAAATTTAATGTACACACACATACAAAACAACCATATATATTTGCGATTGTATAGCTATGAAAATGAATTCGCCGAAAAGAGACTGTTCGCTGAACTACTGGTCTTCTGTCTATTAATGTTCGAATGGGAATTTTTCATGAATTAATAATCAAATTGAAACGGCTGAATATGTCATGTTTGAAGTTATTTTAATGTATAATGATTCATAACAGAAATAATCTGATTAACAGGCTTTTGACGATTACTCATTGATGATAAATAAGGTGTGTGCGTGAGAAATGCATTACTGCTAACAAACAATCACAGCAGCAGTAAAGTAATCATAATTATTTTGATGTTAGACGATTAATTGACTTCAGTTAGATAACCGCTGAAAACTAGGGAGTTATCGGACAGGTGTTTCGTCCCAGTCGTGACAAGTGTTGGAGGCCATCAAGTTGGGTATGAGGTTAGATACCCACCCGTAGCATTGTCTGACGGTCGCGCACTGTATATTACAATTTGGCACGAGTCAGAATCTATAGGCCGGCCACCGGATTCTCTCCTAGTGGTTGAATACTCAATCGGACTGACCTCGTAACCTGAAAGTGCTGGGCTGCATCTCCGGTGATGCATAAATGGCAATTAAGAAGTTAGACATTAGTATATGATTGTATATATTACTGATTAATTGAGATCAGTAGTTGCGTACCATCCACAGTTTTGATTTTCAAAAGAAACTGGTGAAATTTCCTCAAGCCTGAGTAAATGAATAAATATTGTCCGACAACAGAATCAATCAAGCCGTAGTAGACAATTCCTCTATAACTACTCATGAGAACGTATCCATCTTCATCATTTTATAATATTGTGAAGTAAATTACAACAATATTTTTCAACACAGACTCAAGCTTACAAGTACGGAGAACGTTAAAATCAGAATATATTCGATGCGTCCAGGTATTCTAAGATTAAATCGCTTGTAACTAATTGACAAGACTGGATGACTGATATTTCACCCACCAGTTACTCATTCTATACCGCCATTAGGCGGAAGTCATAATAAAGATATTATCAATTCTCGTTTCAATTACATTATCAGTTGTCCGTCCCATGTTTTTATGACTTAAATTATACTACTTATAAGTAATAAGAATAATATTGCGAAATTTAAAATATGTTTGTAATTTTGCGATGTCGGCATCGTCAACTGTCTGTTTCCGTAAAATAACTTCATTTTGTTCATGAGTTGTGTTGAGTTGCCTCCCTGAAATTCACCATTTCCAATAAACAAGTTGCGCTAGTCACTGGACATTAATGATATTTGTTATGTTTCAAGTGTGACCACGGATTGTTAACACTTGGAGAACCATTGAAAAGCAGCAAAGTGTTACTGGTCAGCTGTTTCGTCTTAGCTCGGGACTCATCGGAAATACAAAACCACTGGGCTTCAAACCCATGACCTTCCGGTCACAAGTCACACTCGTAGATCATTTAGCCATTGGAACCCAACTCAATGGTCCATGATTTCTAACTTCGATGAATTTATGAATTTAGCGGTAGTGGCTGGCTACAGGATGAAGTTGCCCGAATTCCCAGTGAGATGTAGTAACCAGTGTGGTCCACTAGATCGAGAGGTGTGAGGAAAAATGCTCACGGATGACACTGGCTGGTGGTCAGGCAAAAATCACGATTTGATAGAAGTTGGAATTCATGGCTGAATGGTCCACGAACTTGTCTAGCAAATGGAGGATCCCGTATTCAAAACCCCGTGGGTGGATACTGCCGATGAGTCTCAAACTAGGACGAAACAGTTGTCCATATGGTTGCCTAACTGATGATCAAACTTGAAGCAAATCAAATCCTTACAAACTGTCTGTCTTCAAAATGTTATTAGATGGTCAGATCTAGGCAGCAGACAGCACCTCTGAAATGAATTACTTCAAGTATTGAATCAATTCTTAGACACTTGCTCACCAGCTATCAACAAAAACAACAACAAAAAAAACAACTCCACTTTCATCTTAAGAAGTATTTATTTCAGTTTTATAACAAATTATTAAAATTAAATTAATGCATATAACCTTTAATTTGTTTAAATAGATGAAAAAGTCTTTAGTTTTCAAATTCGAATGGTACATTGTTTGAATTTAAGCAAATAAAGGAGTGAAGGTGAAAATACCTTTATAATAATAATAATAATAACTATTATCATCCAGCATTCCTTCAAAGAATCCCGAAAGAAACATGATTGCTGCTCAACAATGCACAGATTATATCACGCACACACACACATGCAATAAAATTAATGATGTAATAGATTAGAATACAATAGGCAAGTAATAAGCATTAAAAATTACAAGTGATTACAACACAATACTTTTCTTTTTCTTTAAGTAGTATATTATATGTAGGCCAACAGTATATGAGTAGTATCTACAATTTATGTGAATGAATTTGTAAAAATGATGAGTTCATCACTCAGGATTGACAGATTGAAGAGAGAGAGGGAGGAAGCGGTCCGGTATACATAAATGTATACCTTTCGATGACTTAAGAGTTAAAACACTCAAAGCTTTGTGAAAAGCAATGTGTTGAACAAATACACGTCATATGCCAGCACTATAATGATCTGGATTTATGAGTCTGGAGGGGGATTAAACTCAAAAAATGCAATATTATATGTATGTGTAATAATAATAATAATAAGGTGAATGGTTAGAATACACCAAATATTTTTTGAACTTGAGAATATCAGTTTTAGTATACTTGATAAATATGAAGACGCGCTTTGAGAATCAATTTTAATAATAATAATAATTAATGAGGTAGGAATTCAAAATAGAAATAATATATATAGAAAAAAAATGCATAAATTGTATATTTTTTAAAATTTTCGATGAAATTCAACTCAATTACATACATGATATTCTTCTGTTTTAACGCATGTTTGACACTCGACTCGACAACACCAATTAAACTGACAATGACATTTCTCACGTACTTCACGTAACAGGGTGTGTGAACCACGATTACAACACAGTGTGGCACAACTCGCTTGATCTGTACTATTTGGTAGACATTCACGACCACGTGTACCTGGACTCTGAGTAATTGGATCATATTCACAATAGTTTGATGATTCATCCAGATATGTGATATGATCTGGAGTAACACGACGTAACTGTCTACTTGCCCGGCGGAGTTTTGTTCCGCGTTTGTTGAATTTCACCTGAAAATACATAAAAGTGATTAGATAAGAACAGTGTTTTTTGATGAATCATTTCTTTCTACTTATAAGTAGTTAATCTTTCTGTGCGAAAATTTGATGTGCTTAGGTCGTCAACTGGAACTTTTGGTGGTATTAGACAAATCTCTACTCATTGATTTTCTTTAGATCTGAAGCTAATGATGTCCATACTTTAGAATTTTAGCTTATCTCAAACAAATCTGTATATTTAGTGATCTGTGAGTATTTCTCTGTCTATTGTGGTCATTACCTTGGGTGAACAAATAAATGATTTCGGTTAATTTTTTGTAAATTGATATAATCTTTAGAATTGCTAGAACACCACAGAATATTGGAGGGGCCTTCTCCTTGTTCAAGATTTTTAAACAATGGACGTACATGACCCCAGAAGTTGTAGGTATTTAAACGATCATATTTATTCGTTGTAGATAATTTTAAAAGATGACTCTGGTGGAGTTAAGTGGCCAGAGTTTACCAGGTGCTCGAGAATTGAGCTAGCAGCTGAGACTATGATGAAAAACTTCTTTTCGGCTTAGCTACGGATCAATTTCTACAGTCAGAAGGTGATCAACGGTTGTCTGAAGGATGAACTGCTGCTTTGGATCACTTCTGTGTGTGTTTATAAATTCACCTGTTCCTGTGGAGGTAGCGCACACTTTTCAGACTCATCTCTGAACATTATCTGGGATGGTTATGAAGAGGACAATATAAGACAGTTATAAGATTAGTTCTTGAGCATCTGGTGAATTCAGGCTACGCAGCTCCATCCGATTCGTCTTCCAAATTATCTAGAGGGTGAGACAAATGATACAAGGGGCATTTGGCCGTACAAATTAACTCTTGTAAAGCCATTTTTGTTGATAATGGCTAATAGTGGAATTCAGAGGGTGCATTTCATCCTATTTGGGCACCGTCAGTTGAATTTGGATGCATCCCACTGTGTATATGTTGCGATTGAGACTCCAACCTAGTATCTATTGCTTCAAACGCCAAGGCGCTATCCATAGTAATAATAATAAAGCCATATTTCAGACAATATATGAACACATAGTATAAATATTTCCTATCGACCAAAGGGCGTGTGTACTGCTCAGCATTCCACTCCGTCCTCCTTTATGGCTGTGAGTTAGACATGGTCATTGAAAGTGGAAGACATGAAAAGACTGGCGAGCCGTCTTTGATCATAGGTGTCTGCGTTCTATCTCCTGTGTGAAGTGGTATAATAAGGTGAGCAATATTGAGTTTAGGCATCGATCGAGTGGTAGGTAAGGGGTAAGGAGGAGAAATCAGTCGATGAGGCTGTGAAGTTACACCGATTGACATGGTTAGAACATTTGTTAGGCATGCCTACCTAACCATCGCCTTCCTCGACGCGTAATGTTAGCTGACATAAGATGGGTCAGGTTGGAAAAGAGCCTGCTAATGGTGATCAAACCAAAGCATGGGTTCATCAGTAAGTGAAATCCAAAACAGTTAGTTTAAGCAAGTCACGTAGGGAGGTGTAGACTTCCTGGTTGGGGTCCTTGGGACGGTAAACACCAATGACTGGGGACAATCGGTGCTATGGCTCAAAATCTTTCTCAGTGGTGTAGATGTATCCACTCCTTGTGACTTATTATACCCAATGAAACTATATTCTTCTTCGATACTACTATTTTTCTTGCCTCATATCTCTGTTTACTGTCTCTATTTTGCATTTCTTTTACTTTCTTCTCTGGCTTTGTGTGCTGAGTGAGGTATGGCGACTCGAACTGTTGCACATCGGTGCAAAGTTCTATGTTGAAACCAGTCAGTCACTCAGTCATTCAATCACCTACTGTCTAGAATATTAGAATGTTAAATAAATGGCAGGCATATTAGACAGTCTTATCTTGTAGTACATTACTGTTAAATGGATATTTTCATACCGACGTTAAACAAGACACGGAATGTTTTAACCGCTTGTATATTATAATGGATAATAATGTGTTGATCATAAATAATTTTATAACAGTTACATGTAAATAGATAAAAAGACGTATATTTTATGACTAAACTTCATTTAAAATAACATCAATCATTTGAAACCAGCCGATATGTTAATCATGAGACGAATAAATGAGGCAATAAGGAATGTAAAAAATAAAGAGGAGGTTAGATGAAAATAATAACTGGATACTAAATAAAAATGAGGCATTTAATGATTTTAAGGTTTAGTGGTGGTGTTGTCCAGGCCCTCGAGTGGAATCCAAATGGGAAGCGACAAGTGGGTCGTCGCTTCGAGGGTGACATGGAGGAGGTCATATGGCGATGAGGAGATGAGAGATTATGGTCAGTCGTGGAGGTAGCCAGCTGAAGAGGACGGCAGAAAATAGAAGAAAGGGAAGATATGTTGTTGAAGCCATATGTTCCGCTCTGAACCCAAGGGAATAATAATAATTTTCTATAGTTGGTTTGTAAGGATTAGATTTGTTTTTACGAGTTGATCACGGATTGATATCAGTTAGAGAAGCATTGAAAACCAGCACTGGGGTACTGGACAGCTGTTTCATGCTAATTTGGAAATCATTGGCCATGATTCCCGTGATCAACTCGTAAAAATAATAATCATATAATATAATAATACACTAGTGTTGTCCAGAGATCCAATTTCTGTTTATATTTTTTTCACAAAATTTCATTAGTAGTTAAAGGATCAAGAAACGCTGAACAGTTGTTTTACTGTATTTTCGATTCTCGAATGGTTGCCTGAGAGATAGCTATCACATTCAAGGCGGTTGGTAGGTGCAAAAATTACTCACTCTCCTCCTCACGAAGAGAAGGTGATAAAAAATACGAATGCAGAAGTTATTTGAGATTCCGTAATTCGAAAGATTACAACTTAAATCTTTCAAAGAAGATCAAGTGGAGGACGGTTCTGTCAAAAGCAGCGCTAACTCCAGCTCCAAAAGTGTATATATTAGATCTACTACAGTTAAAAAGCCCGTAGTTCTACCTCTATTATGCAATCGCACGCGTTGTTAGCTATGCTGCTTGGTGTGTCCTTTGGTTCGTACTGTCAAAATGCCTGGCGATAAGGAGCATATCAATATTGCCGTCATTAAACATATCGACAGTGGAACGTCAAACACTAGTGAACATCTTATCTATAAATGTGGTGGTACTGAGAAGCGTATCTCAGAAAAGTATGAGAAACAGTCTGCTCAGATGTGAGCAAAGGGTCTTTCAAGTATGCTTAGATATCGGATAAGCTGAAAGCCAAATGTGAACAGAGCATCACGATTAATATGGCTCAGCAAGACTCCCATCTACTTCATTACATCCACTAATACTTCTGATCCTCATGACTTCATCAGGAACATGATAACCAGTACTATTCAGGCCGATTATTCTGTGCGTTGCACAAGAACCACAGAAACTATTGATATTAAACCAAGGGTTATCGGATTTTAAGGCCTAATTATATCGTTATTCAGCGTTACTGACGAGTTCCTGTCCATTTATGAAGTTTCTGTTTTAGAGTTTCGGAAAAAACCCATCTCCTAAAAGAGCAATTAATGAAGATTATGTTTTGTGAAATCTATTACTTTCATTTTGAAACAAAGCATAATATTTATTTGAAGTTTTAGACTGAACTCGGATTTATTCTAGGAAGGATAATGAATACGATTTCTCTTTATACGCCTATATGAACATCAGGTAACCAGTATCAAATTTAATTGGTGGATGGTGACTAGCAGTGGAATCCAGGATGCGCATTTCGTCCTACTTGGGACTCGTCATCTGGATGTGCTTGCATTCCTCAGTGAGTGATGATGTTTCCCGCAACGAGGCTCGAACCCAGTGCCAACAGTTTCAAATGCCAAAGTGTTATCCACTAGACCACTTGGGCCACGAGAGCCACCTCTTGTGCAACCGGTCGTATTAATTATCTGGTTGAATTTTAGATTTTCCCGTCGATTGATTGAATCGAAGTGCTCGGTCTCAGGCTGACATGTAGGCTTCTTGTGCAGGCACATCCAGATGACGAGTCCAAAATAGGACGAAATGAGCATCCTGGATTCCACTGCTAGTCACCATCCACCAATTAAATTCTAATTACATGCCCAGACATAGTCGAAGCATCTGCACAAGAAGCCGACATGTCAACCTGAGATCCAGCACTTCAGTTCAATCAATCGACAGGAAAATCTAAAATTCAATTAAATAACCAGTATCAAAGTCTGAAAGGTTAACTTCTACTGTCTTTCTTCTTATTATTATTTTGGTAAGACATCACTCTCCATTCTAAAAGAAAAGTAACGGCTTGAGCTTGATCCTTTGTTTATTAATTATCGGCAAGTTTGACCACGATTTGACATCATTTGGAAGGTCATTATAAATCAGGGAGTAATAGACAGCTGTTTCGTCTTAGTTTTTGAGACTCCTCATCAGTACGCACCCACTGCAAGGGTTCAAACCCGGGACCTTCCGTGTAAATTCAAACTTCCGCTGTTTCGTCCGAGTTTGGGACTCATAGACAGTATCCACCAACCTCTAGGGTTCGAACCCAGAACCTTCTGGTTACAAGGACAGCTAGCTCGTAGACCATTAAGCCACTGGGATACAATCCAATGGCCAGTCCATGGATTCCAACTTCTGCCAATTGACGACATGGCGCAACCACTAGGAAACCACCAGCGAGGATTTGTCCTCGCGCCCGACCTGCCATACCCTACTAGTCAAGACTTCCCACTAGAACCCCAGGTAACTACCTACCTGAATAGGGCCAGTGGCTCTTGAGCATCTCATTGATATTCAAGTATTGGTTTGTAAGGATTCGACTGATTAGTAGAAGTTGGAATTCATGGACTGGTCATTGGATCGGGTCCCAGTGGATTATTGGTCTGCGAGCTCGCCTTATAACCAGAAGGTTATTGGATCGAACTCCGTTGCGCACTGCTGAAGAGTTCCAAACTAGCGGGACGAAGCAGTTGTCCAGTGCTCTCTGCTGGTTTTCCAAT